ACAAATGAACACCACTTTTATGATTTTTGAAGTGTAAATACAATTGCCATAAGTACAAAGCTAATGTTAGGCTATAAAAGAACTACACCACTATTGTATGACTTCACTGTCACCACCACTAAATTTCCAACTTGTACTTAAAGCTGCAGTAGAACCTTTATTTAAAAAAAAATGTTTTGTCATATTTGCTGAAACTTTCACTATATCCTGACAGCAGTACATGAGACAGGTAATCTGTGAAATAATCAGGTTCCTCTGGCTCCTCCTAGTGCTCTTAATGACATTATCATTTATTTCACCAGGCCTGAATGAAAATGACCAATCAGAGCCAAGAGGTTGAAGGCTTGAAGACAGCTGATTGTTGAGTCTCATTCACAGGGCGTCAAATACTGATGCTTTGGGACTCTGGGAATGAGACTCAACAATCAGCTGTCTTCAAGCCTCCAACCCAAAGCGTCTTCATATCTTTCTAGGGTCTGATTGGTTGTTTCTGCTAATGACAGTTGTCGTTTCAAAATCAATGGTCGCCTGTTAGAAATGATAAGCTCCACAAATAGAATGAAGGAAGTAGCTATGTGGAAAAACTCAGTTCCCACCCCTGCGTACTCTTAAACCTGGCCATTCACTGCACTCAGTGAGCATGTTTAAAGGATGTCACACTGTTTTTTCAGATTTTCACAAAAATGTTCATTCAGGTACAAAGTGGCTCAGCCAGGTTTTTATGAGTTTGACACCAGTCAATAGTAAAAGGGAAAGGGGTAATGTTGGGTTATTTTAAGTTGTGCTGTTTGTAGATAAGTGTTACACAAGAAGTCTTTATGCTGACTCATACTAAAAATAGGAAAGGAAATGACAAATGCTTGATCTAACACAAGAAATGTATTGTTTTTTTTTACTTCTTCATTTTTAACCCTTTTATCCTTGCTCTGAAACGCACCACATCCTGGATATGTTCAGTTCTGTAGAACTTATGTCCAAGTCAGTGTTAAAGTTATTATTGTTTTACATTCTGCCTGAGGAAAGAAAACTTGACTTGATGTTGACATTAATCTCCCTGGAGGAGGTTCATATTGAAGTTTTCAATTTTCATATTGTGTATTTAGCACAATCTTTTAATTTATCATTGATCAAGCACAAAATGCAAAATACATTCTCCAGTTCCAGCTTCTAGGCCAACTAGCCTGGCTCTGCCCAAAGAATATGCACTCTCATCACACTGTCTGACTCACGATGGACAGTTAAAAAAATCCCACGCATTTGCAGCAGAAATGAGGAGCTACAGAGCTCTGGTAAGCTCACTTCTATCTACACTGCCAGAGTTTTTGCATTTTCAAACTTCAAGTCTTCAGCCCCCACTGACACTCACTAAAGAACTCCCCAACACCTGTAAACCTGTAACAGAGTTCCCCTGTAAGGCACAGACACTACAAGAGATTGATATCTTTCTCATCTCACCCTTACAAAACAGCAAAACTATTAAGTATAAGTTCAAGTCTGTTTTGAACGTAGGGTTGTTCAATTAAAGATCCCCTCCAGTCATGTATTAAGACATATATACAATTAATCTGCTTGGAATAATAAAGTGTGTCTGATGTGTTTTTCTGTAAAATAGTATAATTAACAAATTACAGTCCCTAATTTCTTAATCCTCAATATGCGCAAGGCCCCTCAACAAATTTTGAAACTTCGGGAGAGAAGCCCAACTGATGTTGGATTTTTAAGGCTGACATTCGATATTTAAGTGTTTAGCAAATACAATAATAACATTTCATTGACGAACTGTGACCAAGATATGTACTGAGCAAGATATTTTACACATGAACATATGATATGTTGATTTGCTAAAGTAGAGTTCCAGCTCCCTCCTCCTACCTGCTCACATCAACAGAACAGTTTCAAATGCCTGTAAGTGAATATGTAAGTCAACCATGCTAAAAAAAAACAAAGCACACGTCAGGTTTTCCATTAACAATAAAAATTATTAACATACATTTTAAAACATACAAAAACAAACAATACAAGGCAGAAGGATGATAGAAGGCCCATGTCATTCCAACCTTAACAATAACATGTTATCAATAGAACAGTAAAATGTACTGACTGAATTGGACAAAACCTCGCTGCGAATAAAGTCTTATTAACGACGTGTTATCTCGTTAACTAATTAAAATAGTGCCTGTTGAGATGATCACAATCATACTTCTCTTTAATTAAAAACAAAACCAATATACAAGTGCAGAAACCTACAGACCTCTGGGAGAG